AGAGGTCATGTGAAGGGGAGATGAAAGCATGTGGGCAGACTTGGAGCCAGGTGAAGACTGTAGCAGAGAACCGAGCGCAATGGAGACGTGCGGCTGAAGCCCTATGTTCCTCTAGGAATTAATGGAAATAATAATAATAACACAGAGTAATCAACATTGCGTTTCACATCCTTCAACTTGGTACTGACTCGTCAACTACATTCTTACAGGAGGTAAATCTTGAACTCAGTGGTGATGTTTCTGAATTCAGCGCTAGATAACGAGGATTGGAGTCTCATAGGGCACTCCACTTCCATCAGTGTTGCAGATCCACCTTAATGACGACTGCAGAAAGCTCAAAACCTAGGTCGACGGCCACCTGTTGATTGCTTACATTTATCTAACAGCAGTATTAAATACTTGCTGAATAAAATAAGGAAATAGATATGGCAAATAAGCAATTAGTAAAAGATCTAAAACTATTATCATATAATACAATCTATGTCGTAAACGTTATTCTCTTCGCCGAATAGAGACAATCTTAGATCAAGTGCATATTATAACAAGCAATGGCGAATATTTTGTATTGATATTTTTGTGGATCGAATAAAAAAATACATAACTAGCAGCAATAGTGCATTCCATCTTGAATTTAGAATAAATTTCAAAAATATCAAACATATTGTGTATTTACAGTGCAACACTTATCTTCCTATACGCTCTCTTTCAATGTTTTTTTTTTTTTGAAAAAATGCCTATTGTTAGACAAACTGAATTACGCATCTAAAATATTCTGTGATAAACTTTCTTTTCTTTTATTACTATTCCCTTAGCTTCCGAATGGAAAAAAGGGCTACAGCAGCATATCCTTCATTTCTTTCTGTTCACTGTAGTCCTCTATAGCTGGCTCCACGACTGCCCGTAAGCTTCCATCTCCTCTTCACACGATCTCCTCCAAGTTATCATCAGACAACTAAAACTTCGTTTCCCGTTCAGGTTTCACTTTAGGGCCTGCCGCGTGATGTCACTTGATAAGCTCTCGATAGTGGATTAACTACTGAAATATTAGTCATATACTAGGATTAGCATTTTCACTTAAAGGATTACTATGTGTGTGAAAAAGCGTAACCTAGAAAAAAAACACCAGATTGAGCGAAGAAATATGCATTCCTTTCCAACTAGTTCCTCATCATCGGCTGGCTCTACACTAATATACATAGCTTTTTACATCAAAAAATGTTTTACCAATCAAGTGGTTATTTTAGTTAATCAGTTTTAGGTATAGGGGGTGAAATTAAGAGGTCAAAGGTAATCGAAACAATTAACTAGTAGATGTTAGTAACAAGATATCTAAGTTTTAAAGGAGTGGGTGAGAATTAATTACGGAATTCAAGATAAGTTGATTCTTAGGCGTTAGCAACAAGTTACTACGTAATCAAGAGACTTGTAAAATAATGATGACTAAGGAGAGTAGGATGACTCGGAAGAATTACGTAAAATACAGCTAGAATTGTAAAAACTAGAAAATTCAAAAGATAGTTGCAAGGAAAGGGGGAAAATCGTTTTTAAAACCTTAATACATATTATGTAGTTGGCCATGGCAAAGAAGGGGGTTGCACAAATTTCTTTTGGACACACAGATTTGGCTTGTTCGGATGAATTCCTTTTGCTGCTGCTGTATGTAAAAGTGGTACTCGTAGACCATGCAGAGGTTGAGTGATATACGATAAATAACTTTAAAAGCTTTGTTAGAGTCAACTTGTATTGAGATGAGTATAGCTTTATTCGGACCTTTGCCTAACCAAGAGCGTAGGCGTTCAGAAATTCGACGATGAACTTGTCTGATCGTACGTCCTTACAGGCAGTTAAACTGATAAATACACATGGAAGAGGCGAAACAGAGCAGTCTGTCTTTATTTCTTGAACCAAGTATTGGTCAGCTAGTGAATATACAGCATAGCTTAGCTGTGTTGAAAGTCCTTTTGAAGGTCCTTCTCAGACGTTGTGATGAGATCTCTCTATGGACATCACCCGTAAATTGTAATTTTAGGAAGACTGATTTCTGGGGAACACTCGGCAACTTCGACATTTTACTTTCTGAGTTCATGTGTTTGTTCACGAATTTAGTCGGATATCCGTTTCTACTTAGTAGATCGCAAATATTACCAAGTTCTTCATTCAGTGTCTCATTTGAACAGATAACTTTAGCCCAGTGAACCAGACATCTAACCAGATCACGTTTGTATGGTAGAGGTGAGAAGCTCAGGAAGTGGGTAAATTGTCCGATGGAAGTAGGTTTTCTATGCAAACGTCTACATATTGTTCCGTCTGTTCGTTTAGTCATTATAACGTCCAAAAAGGAGATAGATTCACTTTTCTTCTTCTTTAGTGAAGCTTGTGCCAGGATGTGCTCTATTGAATTTATGTCTCACTATTGAATTTAGTCTCACTTTATTTCTTAACAACTATAAATGTATCGTCAACGTATCGGCAACAGAAATCAAGTTTATATATTACATCTTTAAGAGAACCATTCTCTGGTTTCGCTGGGAAAAAATCTGCTAGGATTCGGCCTAGTGAGTTTCCAAAGGCAAAAGAACTACAAAAGGAATTCGTGTAACCCCCTTCTTTGCCATGGCCAACTACAAAATATGTATTAAGGTTTTAAAAACGATTTTTCCTCTCCCTTTGCAACTATCTTTTGAATTTTCTACTTTTACAATTCTAGCTAATTCTATTAACTTGCTTGTATTTTACGTAATTCTTTCGAGTCGTCCTATTTTTCTTAGTCATCTTTGCTATTTTACAAATTTCTTAATTGTGTAATAACTTGCTGCTAACGCCAAAGAATCAATTTATCTTGAATTCCGTAATTAATTCTCACCCACTCCTTTGTTACTAACATCTACTAGTTAGTTGTTTTGATGACCTTTAACCTCTTAATTTCGCCCCCTATATCTAAAAGTGATTAACTAAAATAACCAGTTGATTGGGAAAACATTTTTGGTGTAAAAAGCTAAATATATTAGTGTAGAGCCAGCTGATGATGAGGAACGAGTTGAAAGGGAATGCATATTTCTTCGCTCAGTCATTCAACGAAGAGTCACAAATATGAATAAAGAATACTGGAGTTTGAAATCAAGATTGTCACTTACAAATTACAGAGTTCAATGTGAAAACTCACCATGATTTCCTTAGGAAACTCACAATATACTAAGCACATTATGCAACTTCTTTCATGGCATAATGACATTCACTGTCGATTATTCTGGGTGACTGGAAGGAACTCACGTCACACAGTACTATTTGCTAGCCAAATCGAAGTGATTAAACACCAAACACCGGTTTTGAGGCCAGGTTTACCACAAGTAACTCGACTGTAAGGTGCGAATCTGACCCAGCTTGATCCAAAACGGTTGAAACTGGTTTGATTACTTTGACCTGGTTAGCAAGTAACGCTATTTCACGTGAGTGGTTTTTAACTATTAATACCGACCACTAGTATACACCAGCATCTTGGATTTACTTAAACATAAAATGACAGAATAATTTGGAGTCACGTCGAGAAGCAACAACTTAAAATACATCAGGGTGAATACTTTTGATGGGCACAAGTTAATATTTACATATACGAACAATTTTATTGGTATTAGTAGGAGAAAACACTATGCAGTCTGTTCGCTAACCACAACTAAATCTATTGTAAGTTTCATCTTACATTTTGGTTTCATAATATGATAGATGGTTATAATTTTCTATAGTTTGGTTTGTAAGGGTTAGTTTTGTTTTTATGAGTTGATCACGGATTGATATTAGTTAGAGAAACATTGAATACCAGGGAGTACTGCCAGACAGCTGTTTCACTCTAGTTCGGGAATCATCGGCAGTACGCACCCACCACCAGGGTTCGAACCCAGGACCCTCCGGTTACAAGGCAACTGACTCGTATACCATTCAGCCACTGGGACCCGATTCAATGCCCAGCCCATGAATTCTAACTTCTACCAATTCGTGATTTAGCGTGACCCCAACCAGTGTCGTCGGTGGGAGATCCATGCTCACACTTGACTTGATGGACCTCATTGGTCACGACTTATCACTAGATAGATATAAGTTAATATTTAGCGTTTTAGAATTTATCAAAATTGTAGATTGACACAAAGCCTTATAGTTAAATTATACTCTACTGATAATCGACTTTCATGAAAACAAACCACAGTATATCTGTCTATATTACGATACTTAGACGTAGCTTAATCAAACTCATCCTTCAGTAAAACACAATCATACAACATAGACTACAAGGCAACCGTCCAAAAGACCAGTCTAGTTCGATGGAAAATGAAATCCCTATTAGTCATATTAACGCCTAATATGTTACTGTGAATGACACAACACCCAGTACATTTGACGATATAAAAAACGCTGCACTCCTCCGAATAAAACAACAATAAATAATCGAATTATAGAAATATAACATGTCGAAAGTTTATATTGTCAATAGATAAGCCACTATTGCCGAATTACCACAATATACACTAATTTCAAATACAACTTTTATAGTACCACCATTTTTAAATACAATCACTAGTAGTTAGTTAGGTAGGTAGGTAGGTAGATAGGTAGTGAGTTAGTTAATTTAGTTAGTTAGAACTACCCGTTACTCAGTGCCGGTCTATGAGACACACACTTATTGCACGACGGCTGATGATACTATCCAGTTGCCGAGACTGAATTAGGTCAACCGAGACTCGAACCCGCTACCCGATGAATGAAATTTCACTGTTTAAATCAATCAGCTATATGCCTAATAAATGACAAACAAGAGTTATAAAGTCGGATTTGCATAGCAAACATTCCTCACTCTTTAAATTGTATCAATTGTTTATTTTACCCAACAGAAGAAAGACAAGTCTTTAGGGTAGATTTTTATTTACGTTATTTATTTGTATAATTGTTATTAAAATACAGCTTTAACTGGTTCACTATTTATTTATCATTGTGCTGCTTATCTCTTCGTCTCAGTAAGTTTCCTCTCCATAAGGACTGAAGTTTGATTTGTCGTTGAATTTAGAATTACCCTTCAAATTGCCAACAACTTCAAATTTAGCCTTCATATGCTTATTACCATACTGTTTCACATGACCCATAGTATCATAATCTAGATACTGTCGTTTTCTGCCATAAATATCATATCCTCCACCTTTACGGAATTTAGTAATTGACTGATAATTTAAACCATAGTCTTGATGACCAACACCAATGAATCTGCCCTTCACATCTAATCTACCATGACTATATTTTGATCCAGATATTATCCCAGTGCTGATTGATGGAATTGCGCCTTTGCCACTTTCAGCATATGGTATATACTCGGGTTGTTGATAAGAGTTCTCGTATTTCTTTTCTGGGACATATTCTCCATTGTATGTATTCCCTTGAGAGTAATCATTTGTTGGCTTGTAATCATTATTGTTATAATCATTAGTATACTTTTCACCATTGCCATAGTCGTTGTTATTATCATACTGATAAGATTCCGGTTTATAATTGTCAGACTCGTATTTATTATTATTATTATATTCATTATTGTCATAATAATTGTAATCATTTTTATTACCGTAATCATTGTAACTATAACCATTATCATAATTGTTGTTATAATAATAATTATTATTATTGTAGTCATTATATGAGTTGTCGTAGCCTTCAGTATATCCATTATACTCTTCTGGTTGCTGGTTATAGTCGTACTTAGGTGGAGGAGGAGGAGGAGAAGGGGGATATTGGCCCGGATACTGTGGGTGACGATTTGGTTGATGAGAAGGCAGAGGAGGTGGATAAGGCCGATAAGGACCTGGACGATATGCTCCACCACTTAGAACGAATGGCAGAAACGACAACAGAATAATACAAGACAATTTGGTCATCTTCTCCTTCTGTTGTCCCGCGTTTTTCTATTTATTCAAATCACAATTAAACAAATCTCTTTATAGCTACTTTCTCCTTATTTATATATGTATATATATATGTTTATTTCTTAAAAAGTTCACTAGTTTCATTACGCGCCTGTTCGACGTAATAACTTATGCACTATTGAAAATTGCGCATAAATTATATTGACTGATTTTGCATTTCTTAAAAGTGATCAATACAGAAGAACAAGAGGGAATTTTCTATAATTTTTTGTTTTGGAAACTATTATTTGAAGTTTTTTCAGAGCTATTTTGTAGCTGGAAAGTAGAAGTAACAGTTTGCAACTTCATATTCTCAAGTACCCATCACCTAACTCTATTCAAATACTGTAAATTGCATTTCTTTTTATCTCTTGCATTCCAAGTGAGGCATTGGGCTATAAGCTTTGAAGTTCCAGTAGCAGTGGAATGGTTTCTACGATGTGGAGTTGTTAGAGTAACGCTAAAAATTCCCTCTTTGCAGGGCTTACTACCGGTTGGGTAAGGGTTAGTATTACGTCGGCTGGGAGTCGAACCTTAACCTCCAAATTCAAGAGCAAATCATTGATACATATGTTCACAAAACTAGCAAGTCACAATATCTAGATATGGCTAGGAATACGACTTCATTGACTGAGGAAAATACGGACCTAATGAGCTAACGAAATTTTCACCATTCGTCAATAACAACGTTAATCACACTGACACCTGAAAATAATGTGAAGCTAATTTTCTTTTCATCCGTTCGCTTTCCAAGCGGAAAATAGAACTTCAAGCTTGAGCTATAAAGTTTCAGTAACGGTGATGTTGCTTTGACGGTGTGTAGTCGCTGACCTCAGTCCCAACCATCCCACTTTAACCGGGCTTACTAACCGCTAAGCTGAGTCTAGGAGTGTGTTAGCGGGAAATCGGCCCCTTCCATGTACATGATTAGAGAGCATTTCCCCATTGATCCAATGCCAAAAATGGGGGAACATATCACCAGGAAATATCAAAATGGTTTAACCGATTAGTACTTGTTGCCAGGTATTGTCGAATTTCAATTTAAAAAACGGGAGAACTTGACAGATACATCGTTTTTCTATGGTTGCTTTTCTTTGGGCTCATTTACCTAGAATAGATCTTTCATGCACTAAGATATCAGCCACAACCGTTGTATGTGAGCGCTAGTAATACTATCCAGTTTCAGTTTGGATTAGGTGAGGAGGGACTCATTGGCTGGGAATAGAGCCCTTTAACCAATGGGCTTTATCTGCACGACTGATTTATCGGTCACTTACGAGACAGTGCCTACTGAGGTAAATTCCAGAAGAAAAACAGAATAGTGATTTCATATTTCGTAATTCTTAGGTTTTTTAGATAATATGATAAAATAACGAAAATCATTGATATGGTAATTTACCTTGGATTTTTGTGAACAGTCTCGACTAGATGAGACTGAATCTGTCCTTTCCATATTGTAGATATTACTTAACTATGAGCGATATAAGTCATGAGCCTGTATCAAATAAATCTTGGTTTTTCTCCATACTGAAGATCAGAAAGCCTAAAAGGATTAGCAACGAGAAACTCTGCCAACCAGGCAACAAACAACCTACTGTTCAAAGAATATACAGTAGAAAACGGAGATCGATTGGACATACACAGAGGAGACCGCTGAGTGACATCATGTGCCAGGCCCTCTACTGGAAGCTGAATGGGAAACAATGAGTTGGTCTTATGCCCTAGAGTGACATGCAGGAAACCATGTGCGGAGGAAATGAAAGCTTATGGAAATTGTGGAGCTAGCTAAGAAAATAAGTGTAGATAGAAACGGGGATGTGCTGCTGAAGCCCCATGTTCCACTTGGAAACCAAGGGATTACTAATAAAGTAATAATAAAAAATAAACAGGCAGTGAGATAAGAATTCTGCATGGATAATTTAATCTCGCAGGATTTCAGCCTGTTTTATCCACAATGTTCAACTGAATCCCTCTGTCAACATTCATAAGCAATATCTATAGTTATGTGTTTTATTTTAGGCCTTACAACTGCTACTTACTGAGTACCTACTTTTAAACTTAACTTCTTTTTAGTGTCCTTATCTTTAACCTACCTTCAGTAATGTTTACTGATTGACTACCTGTAACTGAACTATTACTTTAAACTGTCTACAGCTTTCTTCAACCTACATACAATTTTCCCTTTTACACTGTTATTATTATTATTACTTCTACTATTTCCTTAGGCAGTTCACTTAAGTATCAGTGTGTAGATATTCAAATTATCTCCAAATTAGCATGACTGTGTATACTACTGATTAGCTGATATTGGCAGTTGGAAAACACTCATGTTAAACCGCAGTGCTTGCCAAGCACATTGAAGTAATATAAGCATTTAAAACAGACACTTTGCTCGTTTGAGTTCGAGCTCATCTCTGGTGTGCTCGGTATGACTGAAGTCAGACAACCAACCGAAATTTAAGCTAATTACTTGTTTAAATCATAGAATCGAATTCAAAATTCGCAAATCAAACTGAATTCACCACAGTTTCATTTTAAAAATGAATTTATTCACACCACACAATATGCGATCCGCTATTTCTGGATTTGTTCTTTATCTAAGAACACTGAAGATAATGGAAAAAGCAATAAATGAAACTGTGTACTGTAGAATTGATAATAAAGGGGTATTACTGCGCAGCTATTCTAAAATCTGTGTTAAAGTGCACCCTAGAATTAAAAACAAACTCCTATTTTATTTTTTATAGTTGGTTTGTAAGGATTAGTTTTGTCTTCATGAGTTGATCACGGATTGATATCAGTTAGAGAACCATTGGAAATCAGGGAGTACTGCCAGACAGCTGTTTCATCCTAGTTTGTGAATCATCGGCAGTACGCACCCACTGGGTCATTGAATTGGGTCCCAGTGGCTGAATGGTACATGAGCTTGCCTTGTGACCAGAAGGTCCTGGGTTCGAACCTTGGTGATGGGTTCGTACTGCCGATGATTCCCGAACTAGGATGAAACAGCTATCTGGCAGTACTCCCTGATTTCCAATGGTTCTCTAACTGATATCAATCCGTGATCAACTCTTTCTTATAAATTATATATTCCAGTAAAGATACTTTAATAAATATTTTATCATCACCAGAACAAGAAGAACAATATTTGTGGTATAATAAGTATGTACTTGACTTCAAGGCTGACGGTATAAGACATATTGCAAAGTCATTCAAAAGTCATATGATTATGAGTGAAATACATTTTGGACACATTCATTCTGATTTACTTGGATAACTTAACAGCATGTTTATTCTTACTGCTTTTCTTCAGCTGCAGTCAGCCTAACATCTATAGCGGGGTTAGTGAAATAAGAACTTACATTTTTCTCTTCTCCTGAGCATGAAATTAGCGTGACGTTTGCAGTTTTACGAGGCCGTAAAGCAGTACAATGAGATAACATAAACATTACAGTTAGCACGAAAAGAAACAGTGTCAAGAAATTTTGGTAAGTCGTGGGTGGCAGAGTAACATTTACCCGGCAAAATACATGAAGAAAATCTTACTTAATGGTATATGGGATAGCTTTGATTAGACACTAGTGTGATGTGTCTAGTCCTTTGTTTGGTGCAGACTGGATTCTATCAGTCAATTTTGCAATATGGCCACCATTCTAGTTAGCTAGTCATCATAGTGCACTTTAAATTGTTGATGTTAGGTGGCTGGAGGCAATCATCAGGAGACCTTGGACTTAGGTTTCGTGCTAGTTGGCACTCAGTAGTCAGCAAGGCGTATCTGCAGTCAGTCAGCCGACCTGTCTCCTCTCGAGGAAAGCAAGCAAGAATAAGAAAGGGGACGTGAAATGTCCGTACAATGTACGAGACTGGGAAGGCTGCCCAGGTAACCGAAGAAATGCGAAGATATGGCATATAAGTACTGGGAATCTGCGAGAGCAGATGCAATGGATGTGGATTATCGAAATCGTCAACTGGAGAGTCAGTAATCTACTCCGGTCTCCTCTCCCAGACGAAAACCACGAGCACACTGAGGCAGTGAGTGGCTATCATGTCACCAGTAGCAGTCAAAGCACTAATGCAGTGGGAACCAATCTCCTCATGCAGGATCATGACAGCAAGATTCAACTTCAGAGGAAGGAAGGTCACAATTATCCAATGCTACGCACAGTGCTACAAACAACGCGGAACAAGAGAAGAAGGAAGATTTCTACAAACAACTACAAACAGTAGTGGAAAACACCCCAAATGGCGAAATCAAAATCCTTATGGGTCATATGAATGCCTGTCGAACTGGGAGCAGATAATACAGGAAGAGAACTCATCATGGGTCGAGAGGCTCTCGGTCGGCAAAATGAATGAGAACGGAGAATTATTCACAGACTTCTGCGCTTTCAATGATTTGGTGATCGGAGGCAGCGTGTACAAACACAAGGATATACACAAGGCCAGCAACATGGATTTCCCCGGACGGACACACCACTAGCCAGATAGACTTCATCTCAATGAAGCTCAAGGAAGTGGAAACGCAGCCAGTTTACTGGACACAAAGTCGAGAAGGGGAGCAGATGTGGAATCAGACCATCATCTAGTTCAAACAACCTTCAAGGTGAAGCTGAGATCCCTCAAAACAAATGGACACAGGCCTCTGTAATTCAAGTTCGAAATTCAGAAAGTGAAGGACAAAACTACGAGGATACCTTCACTACGGATCAGATAGGAGACCATCACCTGCAACTTGCCTATAAATCCTACCCCCACCACCTCCACTACCAGTAGCAGAACTGCTTGCCTGTGGACACCAATCCTCCAAAGAAAGTAGAAATCCTGAATGCGATTAAGCTACTGAAGTCCAGTCGGGAAGGCAGCAGGAATAGACGGAATTCCCCCACCCCAAACCCGAAGCACTGAAAACGGACCCAGAGACTGCGACAGGTGTTCTCACGCCATTATTGCAGAAGGTTCGGAAGGAAGGAAAG